AGTAATTTTTTTTTGACTAGCGCGAATGAAAAAAAATCAGTATAAAAATTAGGCCTCGACAAAATCTGTCGAACTTTTGGAACATGAACGACATAGCATTGGTGCAGACACCCAGAAAAGATGGTATCTGCGCATATAATAGAAAGCTGTAATTTTGCAACTTTATCCATCGGGCACACAATTCGCTATGAAGTAATTCCACCAAATACAACTTTATGTGTCTAATATAATCATGAATATTCGCATACTTACTCGAAAGTTTATAAAAGTTACCATGAAGTTTCTCTATGAAAAGTACAAATCAATTTTAGTGCCAGAATACATCTTCAATGTAATACACAAACAGTATCTGTTACACTCCAGAAATTCCTTACTTTTATTAAAACGTTAAGTCTAGGTTTTGTAAGTTGAGTGAACAATAGGGATGACTTCTCGTAATTGGGTTATAAAAATAATTTCTAGCTTTCCATGGACACTGAATCAGCTCCAGATTTTTCCAGCTTTATTTTTCGTTTCAATGACCATTTGCAATAACTAACAATGTGACTGATTTCTTTACATTCATAATTGTGTCCGTGCATATTTCCGACACAAAAACAAAGAATGAATGTGTTATCTGTCCTTATTTTTATTCCAAACAAGAAGTTTATCTCTACCCATGTATTTACACGGTTTTGTGTGTGTGTGTGTGGGGGGGGGGGATTAATCGCTCATATTATATCTTTTTAGTTGTATGCAGGCTGCCACAGACACAGCATGATTCATGAACAAACGACAAACGTAGAGTAAATTTCTCTTGATTAATAGTAAAATAAGAGCTAACGCTGATCGTCTTTAGTTTAAAAAATGCAGATGTGCATCTTTCTTCTCTTATAACTTGACTATTACCACTCGCGCAGATTTAAGATTTCTCAAGGTAATAGACATGATAGTTTAACACAGATTTTGGAGAAATCAGTCATGCCTTTTTAAAATTAACAATCGTTTATTCATAAGTTTGTAACTAAAATAAGACAAATTGGGTACTCTACAAAGACTTGTCTAGAACAAAAACTAAGGCACAGAAATTAACCATTCTAACGCAGAATAAATCTCAAGACATTGAGCTTTTAGTACATCCACGTAATGGTTTGCTGTGTGGGATGGGGAAGAAGTTATATCGTTTTAAACATAGTCAAAAATGCGAACTTCCTAACCGACACCGGCAAAGTCGCTTCAGGGCTCATTAACCCCGTGACCCCAAGCCGGGGAGCTCCGGCGGGCTGCTGTGTCCCGCTTACTATAGGTAACAGAATTGGGCGAAAAGTGACGCCATGGTCAGAAAGTGCTTGAAAATAGGTGTATTTTGTAGCTGTATCTTCACAGAGAATGGAACTTTTTTAATTTTTTAAATTCATCAATAAACAAAAAAGTTACCAATTTTTTAATCAATTAATTTTTGGTATACTTTTATATTGAAAAAAACCCAAAATATGGGACGTCCTTTGCTGAGTTTTGAGACAATATTCATCATAACTCGCTCATTTATCGGAGTGTGTAAATGAAACTTGGGAACCCAGAACATTTTCTAGTACAGAATCTAGCCCTGCTTTCAGATTTTTCATAGCTATCCCACTTTTTGAGTGATGAAGACATTTATAGGTTAAAATGTCGTGGTTTTCGGTGCGTTTTGAGACAATATTTGTCATAGCTCGCCTATTTCTTGGAGTATGTAAATGAAACTTGGCAGTCTAGTACAGTTTTTAGTGTGTGTGTGTGTGTGTGTGTGTGCATTAATGTATATATTGCATGAGAAGAAAGTAAGAGGTAAGAAATGTTTTTGAAAAATGGGTATTCCAATGTAAAGCGCATTGAGCTACATTTTTGGAAATGCGCTTTATAAATGTATATTATATATTATTATTATTATTATTCAGTGGCGGCTCGTGGTTTATAAAACTGACCGGCGGTCATTCACGTTGACTATTTTTCCCTCCCCCACCCCCTTCCTTCACAACACACACACACACGCACGCACACACACACATGCTCTCTCTCTCTCTCTCTCTCTCTCTCTCTCTCTCTCTCTCTCTCTCTCTCTCTCTCTCTCTCTCTCTCTCTCTCTCTCTCTCTCTCTCTCTCTCCTTATTTTATACTTTCGCCATCCCCACCCCCTCCCCCACTCACACACACACGCACACCACAGTAAACATTGTAATAATGTGAAAGAGCTAAAATATGCGGTAGCGTCAAGAAACAATATTATGAATAATGTAAGATGGAAGTTACTGAGATTAATAAAAACTCGCTTGATCGGCACAGAAAAAGAAACACACTACATGTACTTGAGTCTAAGCTAGAAAACAAACGGAAAGTGAGAAGCAATAAACCGCCGGTCCTGGCCTCCAGTACAGTACTTTACTCGTACTTTCTACACCCCCACACAAAATATCGACGTCACTGAACCCGTTAAATATATGTAATATGAACTGTCCTGTATGATGACAAAAAGTCAATTGCTACTGTACCAGTGACGCTGTCCCAAGCAGATCAAGTCTACAATCAGATGCTATACAAAGTACAAAGCTGGACAAAGCACACACGTTTCCGATCATTATATCATCAAATGTACTTCATCGCACTTCTCAGCTCTCAGAACTGAACACTGAACACTGTGTTATAACAAAGTGGGGAAGTGTGTCAAATGCTAATTATAGAACTTCTTGGTGTCTAGCTGGGGTGAGGGTTGAAAAGGGGAGGGAAGGGAGGGGGTTTTCGGCCCAGACTCTGACAGCCGAGTGTCTATCGCTCCTGATCTCGTTAAAATTTTCCTTATATAAAATATCTTCACTAGACGATTCCTTCTTTCGCCGGCCAGACCCCTAAGAGCCAGGTAAGTTATTAGTGGGGAGAAAACGATGAGTAAATGCCAAATAGGAATTATAGGTGGTTAAAAAGTCAATAAACAAAAAAGAGTAGTGCCATGCTGACAATAAATGTTCTGATAGTAGTTAGAGAAAGGCTGAATGATAAAATACATGTTTTGCTGATAAAATAATACTTGTAAAATGTGTCTGTGCTGCTCAAGACAGTCTCATTCTTAATTTTGTAAGCTACAAAGAGGCCAATCTGGCAATTAAGATATAAACTAATCTTTCTGTGGGCTGACGATGGATTTGTCCATGAGACTGACGTCAGACCATCGCTAGGCCAAAGCCAAACCGCTGTGTGTTTGGCCTCGAGCGTAGTACGAAGTTCCGCGACGTGATGGTTTGACGGGAGACGATTTAAAGTTACGAGCCGGCGCGATAACAAACGTGAAGGAATGAGGTTATGTCGCGACAAAACAGCAGTGAATCCCACTTGCTTCAAATCGGCAAGGTGTTTTTCAATGTTGATACACATCATGTTTGTTTGGATTTACTTAAAACTGAATGAAAATCGTCATCAGCAATAAACCTCTAGTCAACAGTTCAGTTGACAAAAATCTGACCGGCACCGCCGGTCTTGTCCAGTTAACAAACCGCCCCTGATTATCATTTATTATCATATTATTATTAGCAGTTCTGCAACGGAACACTTTGCCTATAATTGCTAGAAGAAGCAATCGAAAAGAGCTGAATGTGCAGGCTTCATCACAACAACAAAAACTATAAAACAACAAATTAGAATTATGGGAAAAAATATTTGGTCAGTCGGGAGGAGAAGGGAGGAGAAAAGAAAAAAAAAAAACCTTCCGAACCTGGGACTCGAACCCACGCTCGAAGACTTCATACGCAAACACGCTGTCCATTCGGCCATCACAACTCTCAACAAGATTGGGTAGATTAAGCTTCATATACTTACAACGAAAGTGGCTATTCTCACCCGCCCGGAAGTTCTCGCAAGATCAACTCCTCCCCTCTTCTCTCTCTCTTTCTGAATACTGTCTATCGGTGTGGACGATCAAATTGACCAAAACAAAGTTATTTTAAAAAATGATGTTAAAACACAAAAGTAAATTATTTTGGTTGTCTACAAAGATGCTACGGCTATTTAACTTTTCGAATCGAGCCGAACTACGCGAGTCGCCATTTTGTTTTGCCCGGAAATTCTCGCGCTACTCCTCTCTCTCTTTCTCTCTCTCTCTCCACTGCCCACAGACAAAATTGTACGCTTTTAGTAGGCTACAGTTGTAATGGAACGTTTGTTCACGGCACAGAATTCTACAATTTTTCTGTTATCACAGTGTAGAATTCTGTGGTTTAGGGTGAACGTGCACCGGGTGAGAATAGCCACAAGACTCGCCTGCACTATTCTCACTCCGGGTGAGAATAGAGATGGCCATTTACAACACTGTTTCAGAAGTTTCCGAACTGTTAAAACTGGAATCATAGGCCTAACACAATATTCACCACTAGCCTACCACAACCAATCAGTCAGAGCACCACTAGCGCCTGGCTGACGGGCTGCAGCAAGCCGCAAGTATTAAGTACAGCTAATCTAGACTTCAAGTCTTAAATACGGCTAGACTTGAAGTCTAGCCCTACTTAAGTACGGCTAGACTGGATTTTCCTCACAGATTTTCCTAGAACATCATTTTTTAACTTTGTTTTGGTCAATTTGATCGTCCACACCGATAGACAGTATTCAGAAAGTAACAGTACAGAGACAGAGAGAGAGAAGAGGGGATGAGTAGATCTTGCGAGAACTTCCGGGCAAAACAAAATGGCGACCCCCGTAGTTCGGATCGATTCGAAAAGTGAAATAGATTCTACATCTAGTCTAGATCTAGATTCTAGATCTAGTCTAGTCTAGCTAGTCTAATATCTAGATTCTAGAATCTAGATTTAGTATGTATACTCTCTAGTGGGACAGAGTTCCACCAGTTTAAGTCTTGTCTCAATAGACGTCTAGATATCTAGATATATATACATCTCTAGATCTACAGATCTATAATCTAAATCTAGATCTAGATCTAGATTTAGATCTAGATCTAAGCCTAAAGAGTAATCAGTTTTTGGAACAGACAATTTAATTACCTTACTCTAGGTAAAAATCTCAACGACGACGTTTTAGACCCGGTGTTCCGTTTGGTGCAGAGTAGGCCCTTGGTTGACAGTTGACAGTAAGATTTGTTCGTTGTTTTGTGACACAGCATGAATGAAGTTTACAAATGGCGGCTTCAAAAATTCACCCTATATTGCAACGAGAAAAAAGAGTATTAACCAAATAAAATTCAATAATCTCCTTTTTGTACCAACAATATTATTTAATTATTAGCAAAAAGATCTCCTGAAATACAAAACAATGTTATACAAATATTTAAATTACATTCTGACTAAATTATTAGACTTTTTTTTAATATTTGTTTTGCTGCTTTATTTTGTCTATAAGTACGACCAGAGACACTGGTACTACAGCACCTGTATACCCGAGGCTGGTTATACGGGGTGCCCACACCGGCTGGATCGGGCCGATCCAAGGAGATTAAAAGTAATGGAGGATGCTCTGTCGGCGGCACAGCACGCCTGATAGGAGCCCTCTCTCGCGGCGGAACTGTGGTCTACCT